AGTAACATTCATCCTGTCTTCCATGTTTCAAATCTCAAAAAGTGCCTATCCGATGAAACCCTAACAATTCCCTTAGACGAGATCGAGATCAATGAAAACCTCAACTTTGTGGAGGAACCGATCGAAATCATGGATCGAGAAGTCAAACGTACAAAACAAATTCGCATCCCGTTAGTGAAGGTTCGCTGGAATGCCAAGCGGGGACCGAAATTCACTTGGGAACGAGAAGATTCAATGAAACAGAAGTATCCACAACTCTTTTCTTATCCATGATTTGTATCTTGTCTTATGTTCTAAACTTGAATTTCGGGACGAAAATCCCTTTAACGGGGGGATAATTTAACAACCCGAAATTTCCGTATCATTTCATTGTAACTCTTTCATAGTACAATTCGCGCAACCAATCGTCATTCCAAATTCGATTTCCGATCTTCCGTATAATTAAGTCATTATTTAGTAAACATTTAAAATGACTTAATGGGTGTCTTAATACATTTAGAAATCATTTTAACACCCAACTTTAGTGATCGGAATATTTCTAGTAATTACCGTATCGGGTTACGGTAACTCAATCGGGTATGACCAAAAGCCTTGTCTAACGTCGGTATCGGGTAGAATTCCACCGTGTCCGAAACTTAAACACTATATAAACGTGTTTAAGACTTCATTTGAAGCCTTTGGTCAATTTACCATTAAACACTACCAACCTCTCTCCTCATCCAAGTTTAAGAGATCAAAACTTAAATTTAAGGCTTCAAATCTCTAAGGTACCTTCCTAGCCTTAATCTATAGCATATTTGACTTCCAAATTCGACATTTAATCATAAAATAGGACAACATATGTGAGTTTACCGCCCAGGAGCATGCCTAGGCCGTAAACACAATTTTGAAGGGTTTTAAGCCCTTAAACTCCTTCCTAAACTCTTTGGACTTTAGATATGGCCAAGGGACTTCAAGATATGGACTCTAAACAATTAAAACATGAATTTTATGAGGTTTGAAGGAGTTTACGGCCAAGGATCATTCTTGGGCTGTAAACTCATATTCAAAGGGTTTTTGAGCCAATTAACCCTTCCAAATCATAGTTGGGACTTAGATATGACCTTTGGGCTTGCTAATCTAGACTTGGAACACTTCAAACATGATTTTTGAGTAATAAAAATGAGTTTACGGCCAAGACATACTCTTGGGCCGTAAACTCCTCTTAAATGGTGATTTAGTGCCTTTAAACATGTCAAAATGCTTTCAAACTCAACCAATGGCTTTGTGGTAAATCCTAGATTCATCTAAAAATGATTTGGAGACCTTAAACACAACATATACCCAACATAAGTGAGTTTACAGCCAAAGAACTCCTCCTAGGCCGTAAACTCCTATAAGTTTGTAAAATGGTAATCTAAATTCATAACAATGCTTAGAAAATTAGTTTGAATCACATGTGATTGCCCTAAATAGTTCAAATTAACCATTCTTAGCCATGGGTGAGTTTACGTCCGTAAACTCTATGAGTGTGGCCGTAAACTCATGTTTTAAATGGTATAAATTCATTCCAAGTGTTCCAAGGCATTTTAGATAATCCATTCTAGCAATCCCTATGTCCATTTGAGCCCTTAAATCATCAAAACCACACCCACATGAGTTTACGGTCGTAAACTCATGTATGTGTGTGTTCCATAGTTGTAAACTCTTTAAAATGTTTACTCTTGGGGAGTAAACTCAAGTCCCAAGTCCCTAGTGCCATTACACGTCCGAAGATGTCACCCGGGTCACTCTGAACGCTCGTTTTGAGGTGTTTAACCTCATTGAAGTGTAATGTTCCATATGATTAGTGAATGTATCCCTAATTGTATATATATGGACATTATTTCATTTTACATAGGGATTTCGCGAGTAATCAAACCCCGAACCAACGTCTAGCATTCAAAACCGACACATTTCCGAGTCCAGTGAGTTCATACCCCTATCCTTTTTCACCGTTTTCACTGTTTTCAGGGGGGAACACAAGCAAAGTACAAGGAAATTCTTGTACTCAAAACATGTTTTCAAATGTGTGTTTCATATTCTTATGCTTTTATTACTGATTACTACAATTGATAACAGATTGAACATACAGATCACGTAACATAAATTTGTGAAATAGGTCTTTAAACTAGTATGTTTTACATATATTTCACAAATGGCTTTCCACATTTTATCAGTTAAAAGCATGACATTAAAACATTTGAACATAATACCTGTACACTGTTTTGTCCTCGGTAACACTCCACACACATACACGAGTGGAGGACTATCATATTATTACTAGTAAATTTGTTATTCCTGTATAATTGGAGACACGTCCTCGGAGAACACTCCACCCAGATTACGCGAGTGGAGGACTACACCCATAACCAGAATCTCTGGTATTTAGAGAGCGTGACTTGAGTGTATAGATCTATACGGGGCTGACTACCCCACACCTGGCTGCTAGCTACAGCCGAACCGAAATGGTTCAAGGGTGACGAAAGTCATAAGTATGTGGACGACTTATTGCCACATGTGGACTACTTATTGCCATAGGTTTTAGTCTATTGTATTGTTATGGAACTCGCAATTAGAAATAACAGAGATTTACTTACAGTAATAATGAATTACTTTATACATCGTTTACATCTTTTACATCTTTCACTTACTGTAACTAACATTCAGGAAAGTACGGGACTTTCCTGGGGAAAACATGGAACCTAATCACGATTACATCTTTTACATCTTTAACATCATTTACATTAGAAACCTATATGCAGGAAAGCATGGGGCTTTTCTGGGTAACACATACATAACTAGAAAGAGTAACAAACTGGATAACATTACATCTTTTACAATTTGTAACATACAATAAGGAAAGTATGGGACTTTCCTGGTAACACATGATAAGTAAACAGAACAGTTTAACCAGTCAGATAATCAACTATACATTTTCACATGAATAAACATGTTTTCAGTGTACAAACTTATTATACTTTACAATTGGGAAACAATAACCAACTATTAAGAAAATATGGGATTTTCTTGGTGCATATAACGTTTCAGAAACAGAAAGGAAACTCGAAACATTTTTACAAACAAAAACCGCTTATGAACTCACCAGCTTTATGCTGATTTTCAAATCGCTTGTGTTCTCAGGTCAGCGTTAGAACAGGTACCCGAAGATTTCTTTTTGATCAGAAGACGGAGTACATGAAGATCTGTTTCATTTTGTTTATATATACTATGTATCACAACTGTACAAACTTTACTTTTGAAACAACTGTAAAACTTTCTTATGTAATGTAATGGTTGTTTTACTTTACTTACTATGTGCATTGGATTTGATACTCAACGTGGAGTCAACCCCGGAAATGTTTCCGCCTTCGGTTTTCGGGGTGTGACAGTTTACTTCAATTTTACTTGAAATTTATGATACTCGTTCATTCTCGTAACCCTCCTTCGTTATACTTTATTTACTTGAAATTTTTGTAAGAATCATCCATTATTATTTAATATATAAATGTTTTTACATCATCTCTTCATTTTTCATCTTTATTCAAAACTATTCTGTCAAAATACAAAGGTTACTTCACATTTCGCGTATGTTTTCCTAATATTAACTACTTACCCTTACAGAAACAGTACCAACAATGAAGAATACATATAAACGAAAACCAAGAACAAATAAAAAAGGTAAATAAAATATGTTTTATTACTTCTGAACACAAGCTAAACTAATATTCATTCGTGAATATGTAGGTTATATTCACATATGAATAGAAGATAGCCTGTTGCCATACATACATTATTCAAATGTGAATACAACAAGAATAACTTTTATATATGTTCTATTCACATATGAATATAACAAAACATATTCATATGTGAATAAAAAAATATTAATACATATGTTTTATTCAAATATTCATTCTTGAATATATATGTTATATTCAAATATGAATAGAAGATAGCATGCTGTCATACATACATTATTCAAATGTGAATACAACAATAATAACTTTTATATATGTTCTATTCACATATGAATGTAACAAAACATATTCATATGTGAATAAAAAAATTTGAATGCATATGTTTTATTCAAATATTCATTCGTGAATATGTATGTTATATTAACATATGAATAGAAGATAGCTTGCTGCCATACATACATTATTCAAATGTGAATACAACAATAATGACTTTTATATATGTTCTGTTCACATATGAATATAACAAAACATATTCATATGTGAATAAAAAAATATGAATACATATGTTTTGTTCAAATATTCATTCGTGAATATGTATGTTATATTCACATATGAATAGAAGATAGCTTGCTCCCATACATATATTATTCAAATGTGAATACAATAATAATGACTTTTATATATGTTCTATTCACATATGAATATAACAAAACATATTCATATGTGAATAAAAAAATATGAATACATATGTTTTATTCAAATATTCATTCTTGAATATCAAACTCATTTACCTTCTACTTACTATTGAATGAAGGTAAGAACACTAACATTTCCGATAAAGATTCACCAACAATCAAAGAAACAAGATCAATGCAAAAGAGGAAAAAAGTGAAAGGTACAAAATTCCTATCATATCTAATATATTCATATATGAATAAATTTGTATATATTATTTATTCATATATGAATAAATTGTATATATGAATAAAATTGTATATATATTTGTAATAAATAAATAAACGAGCATATATCATATTCATATATCATTAACTTATTCAAATATTATACGTTTTCATTTACCAGATAAAAAAAGAAACAACAGTACCAAAGAAAATAAAGCATCAAAGCAGAAAAAGTCCATCAAAAAGGAAAACTTCTGAAAAACAACAACTACAAGATTTAGATTCTGATTTTGAAAGTAGTCATCCATCGAAGAAGGCAAAAAAAGGAGTCACCAATCAAAAAAGACAAAAAAAACCAATGGTAAAAGAATTTTACTCAATGCAAAACAGATGTTCACTAGAGGCATTACGATCTATAATCCTTCGGATGAGCAAAGAACAAAAAGAATCTGTAAGATCTATGGGTTTTGGAGCTTTGTTAAAAATGAAAATCACAGATATACCACTGAAGCTGGGATTTTATGTTCTTCAAAAATTTGATTCTGAGAGAATGGTGATAGATATTGAAGGAAATGAACTGAAAGTAACAGCAAAGTCTGTTAATGACACATTGGGCATACCAATTGGTGGAACCAAACTTACAGAATTGGATCAATGGCCTAAGGATGATACAAGTTATGATGAATGGAAGCAACAATTTAAAAAAGATTCAATCATCCAACTGAGTGCAATAAAAAATGTTATTGTTTCTACCAGACAAGATGATTTCAATTTCAAATTGAACTTCTTAGTTCTTTTTGTCAACACGTTTTGCGTGTCAACATCAATGGGAAGATGCAACCTGTTTTCCTTGAGTTATATTTCAAGAAGAACAGATATCAGCAACATAGACTGGTGCAACTATATTTTGGACTGTCTTGTTAGAACAAAAAACTCATACATATCATACTCAGATACCAGCTTCTTTGTTAGACCTTCAACTTTCTTGGTGGTAAGTTATTTTAATGTTTATACTCAATTTTTAATAATAATGATTATTCATAAACTAATACCAAATATTCATATATGAATAAGAAAAATATATTTGTTAACAAATAATGCTCTACATTACTTATTCATATATGAATAAGTCATTACTTATTCATATATGAATAAGTCATTACTTATTCTTATATGAATAAGTAAAAAAATAATATTACTTCTTCATATATGAATATCAATTAGTTATCATTTATGTGCAGTTGTTCTATGCCGATAACATCCACTCAGCAGCTTTGACAGTAACGCATAAATGTCCAACAATTTGTTATTGGAGTTTAGAGAAGATTAGATATCGAGAGGCATTTGAACAAGAAAAAGGTAAAATTAGACTTGGAGAAATAAATGAAGAATTTGTTGATGAACAAGATGAAGGAGATACAGATCTCGAAGACAATGATTATGATAAAGATGAAGATCATTCTGTTGAGGTAATTAGTTTGAACATGTTAATAATATATGATTACATTAAATTATTATATTAAATTCTAATCATATACTTCTTTTTTATACATAGGCATATGAATCAAAAATATCAAAAATGATTAATAGTTTTGGAAGGATGAAGGAAAAGCTGAATTCAAAGCTTGATGACAAAGTTCCTTGAAAAGGAAAGTTTTAGCATTTTCAAAAAAAAGATGACAAATATGATTGTTGAAGAAAAAACTGAAAGCACAACACTTTTTAATTTTCCAATTAATGAAACTGGAGTTGAAGGAATCAATTTGACACCAATAATGGGTCAAAAAACAAATGATCAAACAGAAAATGAAGATAAAGAGGGAATTGGTGAAAAGACAGTGATAATGGTGCAAGTCAACCAGAAGTAGAATATTTGCTTGATTCAAATGAAGCAGATAATGAATAAATGATGAATGATGCAGACAAGAATAAAAAAGAAGGTGAAATTGGAGTAAAAGAGAAAGATGGAAAGAGGAATGAAAATGAGAATGATGAAGAGGAAAAAGATGATCATGATGAGGAAACAAATAATCATGAGGTGACTATTCAACAAACTGAAAATGAAAATTTGTTGGATAATGTTGTTCACAACATTGTGGACAATGTCCTTGGAATTGGAATTTCAAGTTTAAATAGTCAAGAAGACGAAATCTGGAATCACCCTGAAATGAAAACTATTTTCGATAATATTGATATAGGTAAATTTTGTCTTACTTTTATTTTAAAAAAATATAAAAGAATATTAATACACAATAACAATTTTGTTTGTTAAATTTTGACCACGGTCACCAATGAGTACAGGTAAAACTAATACTCTTGCAGAAAAAGAAAAATCAGAAGGTGTACATAAATAAGGAACAAAAGTTGAAAAAACAAAGGGAGATGATACATTTAATGAATCACTTAAAATATTTTACAATATTTATATTGATTTCTTTAATAACATTGTTTATTCATAAGTGAATAATACACTATATAAATGAATAAAAAATAAAAAAATATTCATATATGATGTATATGTTTCAGGCAAGGAAAAATCTGAAGATAGAAATGAAGGAGGAACAGAAGCTAAGAACACGAAAGATGGAGGTGAAGAAAAACATATAGAAACTGAGAAACGAAATGCAAAAGATAAAGGTAAATAGTTGAATCAACTTAATAAATTAATATAATAAGTTTTATTATTCACAAATAAATAATGCAATATAAAAAAAATTATATTTCTTATTCATAAATAATGATATGCATTACTTATTCATAAATGAACACATTACTTATTGACATATGAATTATTTAATCACAGTTCTTTATCTTTCAGGAAAGAAAAAGTCAAAAAATGACAACAAGAAAGGAGAAAAAACTGACAAGACAAAAGGAAATAAAGGAGGTAACAATTTGGATAAACATTTCAAAATATAAACTCAAATATTATAAATAACTTACAACTATTTATATGATAAATCTCCTGGCATGTAGATACTCATCCAAACTTTAGTCTAGGTCTCAGTCAAGATTTAGATCAAACTTCAAGTAAAAAATCTAATGAATCTTCACCAAAAAAAACCACTTACAAAGAAACAAATCAAAGACAACCATCAGAAGGTTGTTATCATATTAGCAAAGAAAAATGTTCTTAATCCAAATCCAATCTCTGTATCAATTCCTACTGAAGTAGGACTATCAAAGCATGATCTGGATCAACCAAGAGAGAAGAAGCTTGCTGATGCTTTCAAATCACCTTTCAAATGCAAAAAAAAAAAAATAGACACAAAACCCAAACTGACACATCAGGAGAGTATTGTTTGTGAATGGTTGTTCAACTTACAAGGCAATATATCTTTAGTAACTTTATTCTAAATACATTCATATATGATTATTATATAGATAATAATCTATGACATTTTGATTATATATTTTGCAGAGATGTGGTTGTCCAGATAAAATATAGTTAGATAACAGAAAGAGCAATTATGGAAAGTCTATATGCAAACAAAGAGATTTTTGGAGAAGTTTTAGACACTTGGTCTAATTTACTTAACCACCAAGAACTGGAAAGGGATTTTCGAAATTCACCATCCAGACTCTTCTTGAAAGTTGGAGTTTGTGTAAATTTATGTTCTAAACTTAATTCCTTCCTTATTCATAAATGAATACACCAATATGATGTATTCATTTATGAATATTATATTTTTTTACAACTGAAATTCACATATGATTATAGAAATATGATGTATTCTTTAACATAATTATATATATTCAACTGAAATTCACATATGATTATATTGGTTACAGACTACTTATCTAACTTCAACATTGTCTGATGAAAGAAAGTATGAAAAATTCAAGAAGAACTTTCATGAGAGTACCAATGGGTACAAAAAGATCTTGAACATAAAAGATATTGACATGGTATGTTAATTAAAGTTGTTTTTTATATATATTTTATCAACAAAATACTTACCATTATATAAATAAAAACAAGTATTCTTTCCAGTTGTTAGAAGTGCTCACATTTTTGTGATTATCTTCAACTTAAAGAAACCGTCAATTGAAATTCTAGACAATAGTGCAGTTGAGGGGGATTATGAAGGAAAATATGGAGTAATATTGAAACCTTTGGTATGTACCCAATTTACAACAACATAAAAGAACCAATTTATTACATATCTAACTTTTATTTTATTTAATGATCAGAAAATTTTCTTTGTGAGATACTTTAAAGAAATAAACCAACCAAGAGAAAATGCAATCTCAAAAGAAAGTATCAAACCCCAACGATTTGAAATGTCATGGAGAACAGTTAAAAACAAAGTTGATTGTGGGGTCTTTGCAATGAGACATATAGAGACCTATATGGGACAACCACTCTCAAAGTGGAAACCAGTTTTTCATAAAGAAAGTTCAGTTCAACAAACTACTTTAGAGAAGCTCAGGCAAAGATATGCACACATAATGTTAACTTCTGAAATTAACATGTTGAAGGCTAAGGTGTTGGATCTTGCTGAAAAATATCAAAAAGTTGAATTCAAAGTGCGTACTGATCATGCATACAAGGCTATGCAAACAATTCAAAAAAGGTTAAAAGAATAATGATGATTGCTTGTGAAGATGAAAAAATGTTGAAGTGTGATGCTATAGAATAGTTTGTGTTGAAGATGAATGGATTTGAAGTACATGTAAGATGATTCTGCGAAACAAGTTTTAAATGGTTTGTTAAATGTTGTTGAACATCGTTTTAATATTTTGTGAAATGTTTATGAACAACTTTTATTATCTTGTATTGAATGATTATGTAATAGAAACAACTTCACTTATTTCTGTCAGTTTTTTATATTTATATATTTTCAAAGTTTATTTATGTTTATTCATAAATGAATAAGAATATGATATATTCATTTATGATTAAATTAGGAGTAATATGTCAGCATAACAAAGTTCATATATGAATATAACAAATTTCATATATGAATATAACTAACTTATCAGTACAAACAAGTTTGCTTATTTATGTCATTTTTTTATATTCAAATATTTTCAAACTTTATTTTTATTTATTCATAAATAAATATGAATATGATATATTCATTTATGAATAAGTTCAAATTAATATGTTAGTATAAAAAAGTTCAGATATTAACATAAAAAAGTTCAGATATGAATATACTTATTTATTAGTATAACAAATTTCACATATTTGTATTTATTTATGAATAATTTACAATATCAATATAACTTATTTTATAGTAATTTAAAAACAAATATCAACATATCAATTTACCATATCAATATAAATGTGTATGATTCATACATGAATATTATTTTTTATTGTTTTTATCTGCATATATTCATAATGAATTAAACCAAAAAACATTAAAAAAATACACTAAAAAATCCCTAACTGTCTTTTGCTGATTTAGCAGCTCCAACTCTTTCTGGACAAGTAAGTAAATTGTGTGGAACTCGTTTTCCACATCCTGAACACATTCTATGTTCTTTTTTAGAATTTTCATATGCTACTTCACCTGCACTTGGAATTCTTTTCTTGATTCCAGAACCTTTATTGCTTTGAACTTCAAATCTCTTCTGGAATAGGAATAGTAACACCGAAAAGCTTGCATACAACTTCACCATCTGTCTTGCTTTTCAATCCAGGATAAATATAATCACTCTCAAATTCCTTCAACAACATTTGTTGCTTCTCAGCAAACAAAGCCAATCTCTTTTTGTCATCTCTTACAATATCCAAACATAATTCAAAACTATAATATGAATCATTGACTAGCTTTACATTCTCACAATCACCTGAATCGGATTGAACATAACTAAAATGATAATTTCTTGATATCACATCCTTTCTCCATCTCTTCAAAATATACCTTTCAGGAATTTCTTTAACACCATATCTCATCATTATTGTAAAAGCATGTCTGCATAAAACACCCATACGCTTAAAATGTTCACAACTGCAATTTATTTCTTTTTCTTTAGCTTTTATTTCAACTTGATACAAAAACAAAATTTACACATTTACATTCATATAAGAATACTCATATCAACACTCATATATCCATATATTCATATATTCATATATGAATATTCTCATATTCATATATGAATATTATTACATTTTTCATAAAAAAAACTAGTAAAATTACCTTAAATTCATTTTTAAAATCACTTTTACTGTTGTTGTGCTGCACAATGTAAACTTTCCAACCATCTTCAATACCAGCATATGAGTATGTACAAAAAAAAACATGCTTTATATATTTCTTTTTGCACCTCAAAAAATAATGTACTTGTATAAACCTTTGATGCTTGTAGTTCTATTTCTTGAGGTGTTTGCATTTTATATGATGCTTTCTTTGATGCCTTATCAAGATCTCGTTGAGTATTCCTTTGCTTTTGAATGGAAGTGTCATAATTCATCATGAAACTCAAAAGTAAGTTCCTACTTTCTGAGTATGTATTAAAGAATGAATTCATACTCTCTGACCTCAATGTAGTCTTCATCAAACCACACATTGGAATATCACTAAAATATCCAGGTATCCATGAATCACGAATTATAAACATGTATTTAAACCATCTTGTGTCTTCAAGATTGAATTCCATCATAAGTAAACCCCACTTCACCTCAAAAACATTAGGTTTCATATTAATGTCCCAAACAAGCTTTGAAAACCTTTTTCTAAAGTCTATGTTAGTAAATAAATTATCTGATATCTATATTTAAACAAAAATATTCATAAATGAATAAATAATAATAAGTAAAATAACAATCAATATTCATAAACGAATATACTAATAAGTAATATATTTGAAATATATTAAAATAATACCTTTTTTTCAACTTTTTCTTTATATGCTACATACATAATCGGTGCTTTGAATTACGAAACACATTCTCAACAGCTTGTTTTATTGCAGCATCTTGATCGGTTAAAACAAGTGTTGGTTCTTTCCCATGAGTTTTAAGAAATGCTTTAAGCAACCAAGAGTAAGACTCAATGCTTTCATTGCTTAGCAACCCAGATCCAACAATAACCGATTTTTTGTGATGGTCAATAGCAGTAAACGGAACAAAAACCATTAGATTCCTAACACACAAAAAAAATGTTCATTACAGTCAATTTTTGATGTATTAATAATTGAATATAAAAATATTCATATATGAATAAGCTATAAACAAAAATAGTTAAAATAATTTACTTTTTTGTTTGGAAAGTCGCATCAAACGAGATAACATCACCAAATTCAGCATAATATGCCTTCTCCATTTCATCAGTCCAAAACATACAGTCCAAAACATCATCTTGACAATTAAACTTAAATGAGTAATTTGGATAATGAGCTCGACGGTCATTCATTGTGTTTACTATCATCTGGGCATCTTTATAACCAATAACCCTATTGATATCTCTCCTTAAATTTTGATAGTCAACTACTTTTGGCTTTACAAACTCATACCTACCTCTCAAACTTGCCTTCAACTTATGAGCCATAGTTGGACCTATTTTTGATGTGGAAGCACGCACAATAAACTCTTTTTTTGAATATGACATTTGTCTCGCTTTTTTTAAATCGCTTCTCTTCTCAAGTGGATGGTTGTGAAGTTCATCAAACTGATAAACTTTATAATCTGGAGTTCCATATATAGATTTAAATATAATCTTTGCTTCACAACCAATAGCTCTTGAATTTGAATTTTGTTTCCTCCTAACAGTACTTGTACCAAATGTGTCACAAGATTTCTTTTTCTGTTTACCACCACGATTACATATAACACGTTTGTTCTTTATAATTTTGTTATCAAACCTTGACTGTGTACTTAGTCTAACATCAAAACCACCAATTTCAACATACTCAGAATACATTTTGATAGCCAACTTTAATGATTTGAAGATTAAACCCTTAAATGGAATAAGTTGAACATGTACATCTGACTTATAGACATGTTCTCCAATTATATCATCATAATATTGTGCATCATGTACTGAACTTGAAGATTCACTTCCTAAAATAATAATGCATGAATAAAACAAATAACATATATGAATACATCAAACTCATATAAATAAAACAAAAAATATTCATATATGAATAAAAACATTCATATATGAATACATAAAATTCATGAGGATTCAAAATATATAAAATAAAACATAACTTATTCATATATGAATAAAACGAAAAAAATAAAAAATTCAAAATTACAATTATCACACGATTATTCATGTATGAATAAGACAATAATTTATTCATATTAACATATTCATATGTAAATAAATGATGATCAACAAAATTAAAAACAATAAAACAATTCAATAACTGATACCTTAAAAAAATGAGTTCTCAACATCTTCTTCTTCACTTTCACTCATAGAAGAATACAAATCACCATCAATAACACTAGAATTCGACATAATACACCAAGTGATCTATATAAATAAACAAAAAAAATCTTAATATCGAATATAACAAATATATCTCACAAAAAAAGTTGTAAAGATGAAAATCTAGTTAATTACGAATATATCTCATCTCAACATACAAAATATCTGAAAGAAACTCAAATCATATATGATCAGATGATGTAATTAAGCAATCTCTATCGGTACAGAACGTAAAAACTACAATGATATATCCGATTAAAAATTAAATCAGCTCAGATTCGAAATAAATATCTCAAACTACTTAACAAAAACCCGATGAAATAACTCCAATAAATATTCGAAACTTGATAATCTTGATAATGAACTCCGATTAAACAACATCAAAACGAAGATAATAAGCGTAATTCCAAAAAAAATTATAAAAAGCAATAATCTTGTTAATGAACTCCGATCTATCCGATTAGAACAATATACATACCTGATCAAATCGACGGAAACTGAATACGAATTAGAGAACTGAAACACAAATGTGAAACTTCACGATTAATTGAATGAATATGTCTAATTGCTAACGAATTATATAAAGAAAATAATATTGATAATGAATTCCTCATATCCGATTCAAACGAGATAAATATATCATCAAGTTGGAAACTGATAACAAGGAAACAGGTAAGTTCTATGTAAAAAAGTTGCTAATTTACAAAGATACCCTTAATGAAAATGGACACGCGAATTTTTTTTATTTGAACATGTTAGATAAATGATTGGCTAAGAATGATTCCCTCAACTCAACCTTTTTTTTTCTCAATTGAACCTACCTCTCTCTCTCTCTCTCTCTCTCTCTCTCTATATATATATATATATATATATATATATATATATATATATATATATATATATATATATATATATATATATATAGGGTTCGGTTCATGTGAGTCGGCCTAATTTTGTGAGATCGTGAGACGCATTTTTTTTATTTTTTTTGTTAATTCAAGTTCCAAAAATAATATTTAATTTTTTTTTGATTTTTCCATTTATTTTGCATTTTAAAATTATTTTTTAGAATATGTACAGTGTAATATTCTACTAGAATATTTCACGTATTTAAAGAAAAATAAAAGATTTTTTTAGTTAATTAAAGTTCCTAAAATAATATTTAAAAAAAGAATTTTTAGATTTTTCCATTTATTTTACATTTAAAAATTATTTTTTAGAATATGTACAGTGTAATATTCTATTAGAATACTTCACGTATTTTAAAAAAAAAATGCGATTTTTTTTAGTTAATTCAAGTTCCGAAAATAATATTTAAAAAAAGAATTTTTGTATTTTTCCATTTATTTTGCATTATAAAATTATTTTTAGATTTGGTCTTATGATCTCACAAAATTAGAATGATCTCGAATGAACCTGAACCTATATATATATATATATATATATATATATATATATATATATATATATATATATATATATATATATATAAGAGTTAGATTTGTATATGGATGACTAATTATTGTGTGGATGTAAGGGTAGAATTGTAATATTAATTTTTAATTAGTTTAGGCAATTGAATAATCAAATTATTAACCCCTTTAATTTAGTTAAATTCGTTTAATGCTTTGAAACACTATGTCACCTGATGAGAATTGTTATCGAGAATTTAGAAAAGAAAAGATAGATTTGAACGATTTAAGATGAAGAACACAGAGAGTAAATATTAATCAGATCTCATATTGATTAAGACTGATTACAGAATAAGCAGAAGTGAGTTCTAGCATTCGTACTTCTACTTCTAGCCTAAGTCCCTATTTATAGGGAACAGACAAAAAATATACTAAGTCTATACATTTTCACTTCGTATAAAAAATGACTTAGTAAAATAACACAAAATGCGAAACAACACAAAACACTCTATTTCGACTTTTTACAATATATATCAACATTCTCCCCCTTTGTAAACAGTCGATACAATTCAACTCATAAGCTTTTAAATTGCAGAGTGAATTGTCTTTCGCACTTCTCCATACCAGGAGATCACCTTCTTCAAATCTTTCTTGTCTCCTTCGTTATTCTTCTTGCAATTATTCATACGTACAATGAAGTGCGTATATTGCGAAGAATTATATCTTTCAATCTCTGAGACTTTGAACAAAAACTTCTTCGGATTCCCTTTTGTATCTCTGCCAGAAAACACCATGCCAAAAGGTTTTAGGCAGATTTCACCAACACCATACTTTGACAAAGCAGATTGAGTCAAAGTCTCCTCCCATGGAACTTTCACTTCCCTTCCCAGCACATTTGCCAACTCATCATCTGTAAGAGCTAGACAATCGAAATAGTTATCTATGAAAGTCTTCACATGTGCGAAGCCAACCTTGAATACTTCTGTATCAGAGCCTTTAAGATTGTTTTCTTCCATATGCTTCAGGATCAGTGCTACATGAATTAAATCATTGCAGTTCATCAATGGAAAGTCAGCAAATCTGAAGTCATATTGTTTGTTGTCAGCTCTGATAACAAAATATCAAAAGTTTTGTAGCATCTCTTCAAACAAAATATCCTTCTTTATTGTCACCACCTTTTTGATTTTCATCAAGGACCAAACTTCATCTGGATTCTTCCCCAAGACAGCATGAAATCTGATTTTCATTTGAGTATAATCATTCGTATTATCAAATTTCTCACTGATCTTGTATTGAGCATTGATGAACAACATTTCATTTATAGGAAAATCCAATTGACAATGATCTGAGTTCACAATATCATAACTTCTTTTTGGCTTCTTCTCGAACTCATACATCTCCCTACACACAACTTTTGACTCTATTGTTTCATAAGAGTAAAGTTTTGTAGGATCTCCTTTGTTTATGGAGGGAGGATCACTTGCCCTTTGTCTCATTATACTCTGAACTTGTCTCATCCTCTCCATTTCAGCCTCAGCCTCAGCTTTCAACTCCTCTTTTGATTTTACATATAATATTCCTTTTCCTCTTCCTACAACATCTTTTTGAGGTTTTGAGCTTGAACCTCCTTCGTTTCTTCCAATAACAATACCTTTGGTAATTGTTTTTGTGGTAATTGTTGTTGCAGAAATCGGTTTCAAAGGAATTGGAAGAGTAGCTACAAGTTGAGTTGATATCACTTTTCCAACAGTTTTCGCATCCTCTTCTTTACTTCGACATTCCTCTCCCCCTTGCACCCCTGTGGAAACAGGCGGAGCACTCTTCGGTAGTAAAGAAGTGAAATTTGTGAGTGGGGCAAGAGCTTTTTGAATAGCTTGTTCTAAAGTATTAATCTTTAGAGACAAGAATTCAGGAGTAAGGATTTGAGTGGATGAAGAATGTGAAACTGTTGTTTTAAGATCAGTGACTAACTGTATTAACTGATCAAACTTCTTCATTGTTTCGGCTTTATGATCTTCAAGAACAGGAATATTATTGAGCTTTTGAAGTTGAGAAGAAATGTCCACAATTTGCTTTTGAACTTCTTCTTGTTTCATGTGAATAGCCTGAAGATCCTTCGCAAGGTCAGACTTCAACTCCTGAATTTTGAAGTTGACATCCTCACGAACTTTCTTGACATCTCGTACAAAAAGAACATGATGTTCTTTTGTAACAGCTCTAAGATCTTGAATAACAGAAGTAAAATTACTCCCTTGTGATGTAATTCTGAGCTCATTATTTTTATCGGATTGAGCAATATTTTCCATGATTCTTTTCTCAGCTCCTTTGATCATTATATCAACCTCCATTACAGATATTGAAGACATTCTACCAGAATCAGCTTGTGATTGAATAATGGTCTTTAACTTCTGATTCAGAATTTTAAACTGTTTTCCTATCATCAGCATATGATCAGGAATATCTTCTTCATCTGAATCAAAAGGAATATCATCAAGTATCCCACCAAAGGCACCTCCTTCGACTTCAGTATCAGACAATGGTTGCGAAGGTTGAGGATTTTCAGGTGATTGAGATGGAAAAAGTGTGGTGAATGGGTTTTGAAGGGCATGATCAAAAATGGATGAAGTGGTGGATAAAGTTGTAACTGGTAATGAAATGGGTAAAGATGTTTGAATTGATGGTGCAACACTCAGGATAGGTGCCCCCGTATCAGATACGTTGACAACCATATCGGAAATAGGAACCTCCTCAGAAACTGATTTGGTGAGAACTATTTCGAGTGGTTTGGTTTGTGGAATAGTGGTAGAAATTTGCGAAGTGTGTATGATGCGTAAAGAAACAGGTACCATAGTTGTGACGGGTGGAGTTTCTGGAACTATTTCTTCTTCAGATGATTCATTGCGAATCACCATCTTCCTTCTTTTGACCATTGTACGTTGCATATTTTTCGCAACGTCTTCAGCTCGTTGTCTTTTCTTTCCTGGAGATACTGGCGCAGGAATATTGCGAATAGTAACACCTTTACTACTCACTTCAGCTTTGCGAATTTGCTTCAGTACCCTAGACTTA